AACTCGGTATCGAGCCTGCCAATATTCAGCCGAATTTGCTGTTTTGTAATATCGGCAGATCACCGCGAAGTTCAATTTTTTCATTCTCCACAATTGAAAAAAAAAAATTCAACTTATAAGCGCATCGATATTGGCTCGGACTGTGAAATAATGGATCCGCTAATTTAAAGATTTTCCGGAATCGACAATTGAGAAACGCGAATTGAGAAGGATGGTAATTTCTTTGTTATTGTTGGAACAACTAAACAATACAAATTTAAATTGAAATCTGATGTTTGCGATTTTATTTGCACTTGACAACCGTGTTTTATCATGCATTCATATTGCTTAAGACATTGATCAACTCGCAGACATTGTCCAATTTTAAACCTAGTTTTCTATTTTGCTGCTAAGGTTATAAATTAGTTTTTGCTCGCGCTATCCAATAAGACTCCCAATTGACAATCGTAATTATTACCTCCCTTCGCGTTTACAATTGCCGTTGACATCAGTACACGCTTACCGCACGCTCCGCGCCTCCTCGTGCATGATGCACCGACGGACCGGTTGCCGCTCTTCCTGAGGTGACTGTTGCCTCCCGCTCGGAAGTCGCCGGCAATCCTGTGCCGTGTGACTGCTCCTTTACATTGCCAGTGGAACTCATTTTGTTTTCCTTTTTGTGGCACAATGTGTTGTGCCGCTCTCGCATTCTCGACACGAACCCGACTTGCATTTCGCAACGAAATGATCATTGAGAAGACAATTAATGCAAAGCTTCAATCTCTTTACTGCTTGGATTCTATTTTCAACAGAAAGATTCAAAAATTGATTACAATTGTAAATAAGATGAAGTCCGTGACACAAATAACATCGTCCTTAAACGGTTGTCGTTACTAGTGTTTGGCCACGAGATTTCAAATGAAAAGAATGCTTTTTATTACCGTTGTTCTTTTCATAATTACTGGGATTTGATTTGCTGGTAACGTCCGCCAATTTTTGCTCAGAGCTGCTCGCTCCAATACTTGACATCGGCGTTGCAAAAATCCACCGCAGCATTGGTCATTATTGTTTCCAATGTCTCGGCGTGTTCCTCCCAACGCTTTCTTGTGGCGCTGTCCAAACTCTTCTCGATCAGATACACAATCAGCTCTCCCCATGACTCCGTAGGCAGCTCCATGGAATGCAAAACTCGTAGATGTTTCTGCACGTGATTTATGAGTTCTCAAATTGCTCCGGCGGATTCTCGATGCACCCGCGGCAGCTCGAAAAGACATTGAATGTGTCGCTTACGGATGGCTCTGTCGTCCTCGTATCGCTTTCTCAACAGCTCCCAAGCGATAATATAATTTTGCTCCGAAATTTCTATCGATTCGATTATCCTTGCCGCCGGACCGCTCAATGATCCCACGAAATATTGATGCTTCTGCACACCGGATAAATCGCTATCATGTATTAATGTTTTAAATGTGTCAGCATACCTTTTCCAATCCTCGATGTTTCCACTGAACGTTGGCAGCTTGATCGTCGGCAGCTTCACCTGTGATTCTCGCGGCGCACCCGAATGTGTACTCATACGCTCCAACATCTGACCTTGTTGTTCTAATATTCTTGCGATGATATCACTGCCACTATTCTCATTTGATCGCTTCAACAGCCGCTGAATGAGAATCGTTTGCTCCTCCAAGATTTGCGCTAGCACGTTGTTGTCACCCTGATTTCCGCTGCTAGATGCGGCTTGTAATGGTTTCGTTTTCTCTAGAACGCGCAACAATGACGTTTTCAATGCGACGTATCTCTCTTCAAATTCTGTTTCTTCCGTTGCATCTCTCAGATCATATTCTTCTTCAGAAACGATTGCTATTAATTGCTGCGAAATGCCTTGAAATTTAGTGTGCGCATCTTCAAGATTCTGAACACGCACTTCGAGTTCTTCCCTTGTGACAGTCTCCGGTTTTTCAATAATTCGATTTACGAAATTTCTTATCAATGTTAATTTTGCTTTGATTGCTCCTCTTTGTCTTCTCAATTGGTCACCGCTTATCTTGTCTTTCGATTAGTAATGTAAATTTCGTGCGATCGATCGTTAAATTTGAATGTTTTTTCGATTGTTCTTGCGACAAGAATTTAAAATACTAAATAGTAGCTGGCTTCGCGACAACACATCGATCGGTCGCACGAACACAACACCGCCAACCTTGCGATATTGAGCGATAATACGCTTGACTTGAATTAATTTAACGAAATTATTATTAATTGAAAAAGCACCTTGAATTTACGTCTTCTTGCTTCTTCTTTGCCGATTCACTGCTTGCGAACATCCGGCTCGAAGGACCAGAAAAATGTACGTGCCCGTTCACACGAATTGTCCGTAAAAAATGTCTTAATGATAAGTGAACTGTATTTAATTTATTTTGCTATTTGATTTACAATATTGGAAACCCTTTTGGTTCCCTTTGTCAAAACTAATCGAGTTAAATATATAATGTGGTTCGAACGAATTACTAATACTGATAAACGGAACAGAGTAGAGAGAGCATTACCACGTCGGTCCTTCGCTTTTATTCCTCTCTTCCCGCTAAGGGTTTCTTCCACTTATTACAACAGACGCGCGTCAACGCTCCCGCTTTACATTGATTTTCAAAATATCAATAATCGATCCTTTATCGTTTTAATACTGTACAATAAAGCAAGAGCATTTTTTAGTATATATTCTATTCCTCACAACGTCATTATATGTAATTGTCGCAAAACAGATCTCTCGCTAATTGTTCTGTTAGGAGGTCGGTTGCGAATCTCAATAACAGCTATTGTTAATATGTCTATAAAATCATAAGTATACGAAAAAAGTTAACATTGAAGATAAGTAAATTAATGAAAATGGACTTACAGTTAAATCGAGTAAGATGTATTGTGACTTGGAGGCTTACAGATGTTAATAGCTCGAGGTAACAATAACGTATGATTTTTAACTCTCAGAGAGACGACCGCACAACTAAGAAAATAGTTAGTTGTTTATGTTTTTTAACTTTCAAATCTTTGGTAGTCTATGTATAATGTCGTCATAGATTACTGGCAAGCCATCAATATCTGTTTTTAAATTGAGACTATTAATTTGCCTTTTTATAAATATCATCTCAACACCAATGTAATATATAAGATAGACTGTAAAGAGTGCAATGCATCGTATGTTGGTCAGACTAGTAGGAAATTATCTACTAGAATATCTGAACATCGATCTAATATACACAGAAATGTAAAAAAATCCGTAATCACTGACCATAGATTAAAACATAATCATGAATTTTATTGGGACAATGTAAAAATACTTGATAAAGAATCTCAATATAATAAAAGATTAATTTCAGAGATGATATTTATAAAAAGGCAAAATAATAGTCTCAATTTAAAAAGATATTGATGGCTTTCTAGTAATCTATGACGACATTATACATAGACTACCAAAGATTTGAAAGTTAAAAAACATAAACAACTAACTATTTTCTTAGTTGTGCGGTCGTCTCTCTGAGAGTTAAAATCATACGTTATTGTTACCTCGAGCTATTAACATCTGTAAGTCTCCACGTCACAATACATCTTACTCGATTTAACTGTAAGTCCATTTTCATTAATTTACTTATCTTCAATGTTAACTTTTTTCGTATACTTATGATTTTATAGACATATTAACAATGGCTGTTATTGAGATTCGCAACCGACCTCCTAACAGAACAATTAGCGAGAGATCTGTTTCGCGACAATTACATATAATGACGTTGTGAGGAATAGAATATATACTAAAAAATGCTCTTGCTTTATAAATGCGTTGATCTCAGGTGTTAACATATAAATTGACTCCGTATATTTTTATTATAATGACATTGATGAATAATTTATTGCTATTTATACTAATATTTTAATTTTTAATATATTCGCTGAAGAAGGTTGAAAAAGACAACCAAAACGTACGACGAATCGAATTTACTTTTGTATAATATTTAATAATTTATGTTATAAATCTTTTCACCAATATATTTCTATTATAGAACTTATCTAGCTCTTATTGCCTTTTATTTGTTGATTAAAAATTTTCTAAAGAGCTGTTATAAATTATATATAAATTTTATATATTATATATATATATATATACATATATAGAATTTTATATTATATATATTACAAATATATTTCTGTATCGTCTTCTTCTCCAATTATTTCGTCAATATTTGCGTAAGAATCGTGAAACATCATAAGATAATAATTATATTTATATATGTTAAATATAACATATCAGCTTAAATACATTAACATAAGTATGTATTGAATCAATTAATAATAATTTTATTTAGTTATTTTTATTTGTTAACATGAAAGTGCATTGTTACTAAAAAAGATACTTGTGACAGGAAATTGGATCGTAATACAATATAAAATCTTTAATTAAGTCAATCAATCTTATTGTACATACATCTTTACTTCGTAATTATGCCAACATCGTGAAGTAAAGTTATTGCTGTCTGCATTATCTGAAAAAAAGTTATGTTTTTGAGTTTATGATAAAATAGAGTACAATTTAAATGAGGATGAGAATTTGATTGCGAGCATATTATTTGTAGCAAACGTTCTCTAGCGATATTACAGTTTTCTCCAGCTATTATTTTGCATGGAATTATCTTGTTATATCATTTTATCAATTTCTTGTTAAGATTAATGTAATGTTCCGTTGAATCTGGCCACAAGTATGTTCACCAAAATCACGAACGTCTAAAAAATTGAGTTTTTTACACGTGACACATTAGTAATAATCACGTGTTTCTCATTCACGTGTAATTGACAACTGTTCCTATAGAGTAATTAAATGTTCGAATAATTAAAAATAAAAATATGAAAGTCTGGTTAATTGTTTTCTCTCGTCGAAAGAATAGAAAGAGGAAAGAAATATTGATATATAAATTCATGTTAATTATATATTTTACAATATTGCTTATATATCATAAATTATTTACTATAATAGCAGAATATATTGTGAATTTTACATTAAATTTTGTAGCAAAATTTTAAAAATTACAATTATTAGACATATGAACGCATACAAAACATTCAATGATTTTTATATCTCCTTATACATTTTTATTTTAACGAATTTTCTTTTATCATTATCTTGGAAATATTTATTAAAATAGAAAGATTATTGCAGGTACAATAAATCGATGCAAATTCGTAAATCATTAAAGATGGTATTTTCAATAAAATACACTCAATATACAAACTCTTATTGCACTATTACACTTAATGCATTTATTAATTTATATTGGTAACAAATGTTATTAATTGTTGTTATTTTATAGATATTACAGATAATTAAAATGTCATCAAATGATTAATTACATAAATGTCGTAATAATCAAATTAGAAAAAATATATCTGTATTTTGCCTTCATCCATTCACATTTATTCATTTATCTATTATCATTTAAGCACTTATATATTATAAAAATTGAATTCATTTTAAATTCCTGTGCAATATAATTGACATTACACATCTTAGCGGTAAAAAAATATACGAACTTATTGGTAACAAATATAAATTTTTTTACACAATCAAATTATATCACAATATTATATATTAATGATACATTTTGTATATAACAATATATATGTTATTTCTTGATTTTCTGTTCACGATATGTTACTTCATTATATTTCACGAACACACAAACACTATCTTTCATTGCACATTGTACGAATAAACTTGCGAATCATTCAAACAACAGAATGTGCTATTACTGTGCTCTACTGTGAAAGAGTCTATTATCAAAGTATTACGATGAAAAGCAGCAATAAAGAGGGTTGCATTGTGCAAATAATTGCGCTCTATGCCATGATAACATAATTATAGCTGTGCACAAGGAATTGCTAATATTGTTCCCATGCGTCGCTTAGCGAGAATTTACAAGCTACTTTCGCGTTCTTAGTATTTCTGAAAATGGCTGAGGGAAAGGATATTTTGCAAAGTCGATATTATACGATTCCTAGATTCTATATGACTTTAGCAGGATTATGGCCGTATCATTCGATTCGCGATAGATATCTACATTTTGTGCCGACATTTACAGTCTGTTTTATTATTTTTATACCCCAGGTACATAATCAAATTTATATACACATATATAATCCTTACAATACATCGGGTACATTATCAAAATATATTAAAAATGATAATATTTTATTAAGTTTAACACAGTTTTTGTCTAAATACAATCATTTGTATACATGTTTTTTTGTGCAAATATTGTAAAGCTAATTTCTACGAATATACTGACATTGCGTTACTATTAATATTTATAACATTTATTGTATTATTTTGTATAATATAGGTATTATATGTGCACATCGCTTTGACAGATCTCGATGATCTCTTTGAATGTATTCCAACCATGTTGATCACAATCATATTTAGTTTTAAATTAGCGAGCTTGATGGCAAATAGTAAGAAAGTAAGTAACGATAATTGACATCTCGCTAATTGCACTTAAACTTGTATCCTAATAAACTTTTGATATTTTATCGATTGATATTTGATAAATAAATAACATCGATATCGTAAAAAATATTTTTGTTTCTTACAAAAATATATATTTGTAGATAAAAACCTGTCTTAAAACGGTACAGGATGATTGGTTGTTATTAAGTACGGATAACGAAAAGGCTATTCTGCAACGACAGGCTGCATATGGCCGATATCTGACAATATTTTACGCAGGTGCGTTAAGAGAACAAAAAGATAAAAATTTCGATAGAAAATCTTTTCGGCCAGAGATAAAATTGTTTTCTCATCATTTAGTCGAATCTTTTCTAGCGTATTTTTCTGTACATTTCTATAGGTTTAATGCTGCTGACAGGATTCCTCTACATAATTAAGTCGGTCGTGTTGATACTGATAGAGGATTCCTCAAACTCTACCAAACTGGCCGTAACGAAATTACCATTTCGCGTGGAATACGGTCAAAAAATAGATCAGTATTTCTATCTCATACTGGTCCATAATTATCTGATCGTGTGCTCTCACGTGACCGCCACAGTCGCGACTGATACCTTGTATTTTACCTTAATTCAGCATGCTTGCGGAATGTTTTCGGTTGTCGGGTAAACTAATCATCGATCAAGAATGATGTTTCACGAATTTAGATAATTCGAACAAAAGTCGCGTGACTAACGTCATTGAAAGCACATTATTTCCCATTCGAGAGTTTTCGATCCTTCCGATTCAGCTTGAAAAATGAAATCGACGATTTTATAAAATTTTTTCTGAGATCTGAAA